GTATATTTTACACTGATGTAAATAAATTGTAAACTTTTGTGGATTTTTTTTTTAGATCTGAATGGGTTTTGTTTTTAAAATAACCTTTTAAAAATTAGCACAAAGCATAAAGTTAGAATAATAAGGTGAGAGTAAAAACAGCTCAGCACACCATTAGCAGTGAGGGTAGAGAGCAAAGTGAGGGGCTGCAGCTGGTCTCACGTGTGCTGAAGTATGAGCGATGTTCATCTGTCTGTGCCGATATGAAAACTTTCCTCCAAGCAGCTCTTCATGATACGTGAGGCTGGAGCCTGACGCAGAGACAAATGCCAAGCTTTCGCTCATCCAAATGTCAAATTCGACAYGTGATGACATTCAGTAACCATCCCTGCTGGCTGGGCCATTCCAGAGCCACGCAGCTCAAACAATCCCCCCGTGAAGAGAGCAGGTGAAGTGACTGAATTTTATGTTATACCCTCCCTTCAGTTGCCCCCCGAGTGCTGAAAGCTTTTTATAAAGAAGTCAGGCCTTCGATTCTTGAGTGAACCTAAAACTGAAATCTAGCTCTTAAAATAAAATGTCCCTGTCAGAAAAGTGGACATCTTAAGTTCCAAATGCTCTTTTGTAATTAGTGAAAAGTCAAAACATTTTTTTCTTTTTATTTTCTCATTTATTGTTTACATTATTTCAAGTTTCCATCTAACTTTAGAAAAAAAAATTTTTTTTCAAGTAATTGAATGTGCCAATCTAAAGATTGCCTAAGTTGCTGTCACAAAAATATTTATTGTGATTTATGATCTGTTAGCAAAAAAAAAAAAAAAAAAAAAAAAAACACTTTAAACAATTTTCTGTGGAAAACACATTAACAGTAAGTTTCTTAACTGTTATAGATAACTTTTTGAACTACCACAATTTAGAGAAATATCACTTTTCAGTTCAGTTTTGGACAGATCAAAGTGATTGGAGGCCATTTTGAAGAAACTGCAGTGGAATTTCATACTGAAAYATATAACATACCTTTACTGAGTGCAGATATCTTCACACACACAAAACCTAAAGAAGAGGAGGAGGAAAGGAGTGCAGGGAGGAGTTTGATTTTAACCCAATACAGAACACAAAGGAAACAGTTCAGAAGAAATAAAAAAGATTAACACCGGAACACCTCAGTGTTGTCCCGTGAAATTTTTAAGGGGGTCTTTGTTGCGCATCTATGTAGTGTACAAGTRTAGCTACACTCTGCTGATTTGATAGAAATGTGTGTATAGTAAATAAGTATTTATATATACTGTATGTGTATCCTAAGCACTAAAAGTAAAGTAATTTGTGTTTGGTAGATTACTTTTCTGTAACACAATGCTTCTTGGCAACACATCTTATGGGCACATGACTGACAGCAGCTTGTGCTAAAAGCTCAAAACAAGAATCAATACAGAAAAATAAGCTGTTTGGCAGAGGAAATTTGACAAATTTTTCATGTGCGAAACTCAGCTCTGCTCATCCCACAAACGAATGTTCCTTACAAATGTGGCACCCCTAAAAAAGGAAATTAACAGGCTTTTCAGCGGTATAAGATTTATTGTGAAGAAGCATTGCTTATGGTGCAAAACTTATACTGCAAACAGTGGGGAGAGCAAACATTTGATACTGTTCAGGTTTTCCCACTTGCAAAGCTTGTCGATGACTGTAATTTTTATCATAGGTATGCCACACGGACTTTAAGCTCCCTCCAACGATTTTCTATTGGATTCAGGTCTGGAGACHGGCTAGGCCACTCCAGGACCTTAAGATGTTTCCTACGGAGCCACTCTTTAGTTGCCCTGGCTGTGTGTTTTGTGTCGTTATCATGCTGGAAGACCCAGCCAYGACCCATCTTCAGTGCTCTTACTGAGGGAAGGAGGTTGTTGGCCAAAATCTCACCATACATGGCCCCATCCATCCTTCCCACAATATGGTGCAGTCGTCCTGTCCCCTTTGCAGAAAAGCATCCCCAAAGAATGATGTTTCCACCGCCATGCTTCACGGTTGGGATGGTGTTCTTGGGGTTGTACTCATCATTCTTCTTCCTCCAAACATGACGAGTGGAGTTTAAACCAAAATGTTCTATTTTTGTCTCATCAGACCACATGACCTTCTCCCATTCCTCCTCTGGATCATTCAGATGGTCATTTGCAAACATCAGACGGGCTTTGACATGCGTTGGCTTGAGGAAGGGCACCTTGCGTGCACTGCAGGATTTTAATCCTTGACGGCGTAGAGTGTTACTGATTGTTTTCTTTGAGACTGTGGTCCCAGCTCTATTCAGGTCATTGACCAGGTCCTGCCRTGTAGTTCTGGGCTCATTCCTCACCTTCAAGATCAATGATGCTCCACGAGGTGAGATCTTGCATGGCACCCCAGACTGAGGGAGATTTTCCGTTATTTAGTATTTCTTCCATTTTCTAATAATTGCACCAACTGTTGTTGCCTTCTCACCAAGCTGCTTGCCTATTGTCCTGTAGCCCATCCCAGSCTTGTGCAGGTCTACAATTTTATCCCTGATGTCCTTACACAGCTCTCTGGTCTTGGGCATTGTGGAGATGCTGGAGTCTGATTGATTGTGTGGACATGTGTCTTTTATACAGGTAACGAGTTCAAACAGGTGCCGTTAATACAGGTAATGAGTGGAGAACAGGAGGGCTTCTTAAAGAAGAACTAACATGTCTGTGAGAGCCAAAATTCTTACTGGTTGATAGATGATCAAATACTTATTTCACACAATAAAATGGAAATTAATTATTTAAAAATCATACATTGTATTTTTCTGGATTTTTGTTTTAGATTCCATCACTCACAGTTGAAGAGTACCTATGATAAAAATTACAGTCWTCTACAAGCTTTGCAAGTGGGAAAACCTGAAAAATCCACAGTGTATCAAATACTTGTTCTCCTCACTGTATCTCTGTCTTCTGCATCATTTGTATTCAAACTACCTCCATGTTCTCTTTAACTGCATCCATCTACCATATGGTTTGTATGTTTGTTTGTTTGTTTTTTCCTAATAGCTGCATTTCTAACATCCCAGTATAACCACTGTCCTTCCTCTGGACACGTGCAAACCAGTATAACCACTGTCCTTCCTCTGGACACGTGCAAACCAGTATAACCACTGTCCTTCCTCTGGACTTGTCCAAACTATTTGTCTGGCCTCTCTAACTTGATTCAACCTGTGCTATACCTCTGATGGTCTTATTCCTAATTGTATCCATCCATGTTGCTCCAAGTAGAACCTCAAAACCTTCAGTTCTGTCTCCTGTCTTTGTGTCAATGTCTCCAAACCATACAACTTATCTGGTCTCACTGCTCTCTTCATTTGGCCTTTGCTGTCATCCTTTTGTCACAAATCACTCATGAAACGTTTTTCCATCTATTCCATCCTGCCTGGATTCTCTTCTTCACCTCTTTGATTACATTTCTTGTTTTCCTGGACAATCAACCTTATTAAAAGTCATCKTTGGGACCTCTGCTCCATGTTGCCTCATTGTTCCACCTGCTTCCCTCTCTTTAACCCACTTGTACTCCACAGCTTCCAACTGCACCTCCACCTCTCCAAATTCTCTTCCACCTGTTCCGTTTTAACCACAGATCGAGTCATCAGTCCTCGAGGACTCCTGCCTGACCTCATGGTCTGTATCAGTATCAGTCTAACACATTTTACCTCTCAAGATGGCATTTTGAGTGTTGTTTTACAGCTAAACAGTGTTTTATGAAATGATCTCTGAATAAAAAAAGGCTGTCGAACAAACTTTACTGTGAGCATTCTGGTTTATTGAAGGCACATCAGTTAAAAAGAATAAATAAGTTGTGCTTGACACATACATTCATTGTCACGCCACTTTACTTTTGTAATAAATTTAATGTTGTACCGCAGATTAGGTTGATAAGATTTAAAAGTTGTAAAATCAAACTGTGAAAGATTTTATTTTCTATAAGGCATATGATGCCTCTAATAGTGACAAAAACAGATTAATCACTTCAGTATGTGACTATTAGCTTCATTTTAAGCACCCTTGGGTTATTGTTTTAGTAACAAATCAAGAGTTACATTTTATTAAAACGAAACAGAACATACAGCTGCATCTTAGATTTACTATGTCTAATCTACAATGCATCACATTTCACAGCACTAAATCAGCCTAAAAGGTTTCAGTCCCAGTTTTACAGTGTGTAACTGTTGGTGTGGTCTCTCTCCTGACAGTCTGATGTGGTTCTGGACTGTTCCAAAAGCAGTTGAGGAAGCAGAGTTCAGCCGTTATCTGACAAACTTTCAGCAGCTTGTGTGTTCCAGTGTGTGCTGGGTTTTGAAAACTGAGTGCGGCTCAATAACGCCACACAAGTGGACCCTTCCCTTTCAGTGCACAGAGACGCTAAACTTCAACCTCGCAGTAGTTTCAGAGCAAAAACTTTCCTTCACTTGGATTCTATAAAAAMACAAACAAAAAAAAGGGGTCGTAATTTTCTTCAAACTCTTACAATTACGGTACAAAATCATCGCTTGCTCTCCAGTTTCACTGACTTTGAAGGTGTTGTCTCTTTTTGACTTTTTCCACTCCCTCCAAGTCTTTCATGCACGCAGCCAGAAAAACGCGGCACTTGCGCGTGTACTGCTCGGGGAAATCCCGGAAGTGACAGACGTGGGAGCTGGAGGCAAAGTCGTAACCGTCCACGGAGACGCCTTTCTTCTTCACGGCCTCCATGAACTGCTCGACRTCCCTGTACCTGATCACGAGGTCGGCTCTGGAGTACAGGTGCAGGTGGGGCCAGGCGGGCGGCCCGTCCTGCACGGCGTCGTAGTGGTTCTTGTGGATGAACTTGGTCAGGGGGTACAGCACGACTCGCAGGAGGAAAACGCTCACGGCGAACAGCGCCAGGAGGACGTACCTTAAGAGGGGGCTTATCTTCGGCCCCAGGGTGGCCGCCAGCGCGCGCAGAGCCCCGCGGATGTTCCCGCTGCCCGGGGCGCTGTCCACCACGGCCCCGACCACGCACAGCGAGCTGAAYTGCTTGTCGCTGTGCAACAGCTCCACGACGTATCGGTACAGCATGAAGCCGCCGTTGCTGAAGACGTGGAAGAACACGGGGCTGTTCTCCACCTCGTAGTCGTAGAGGATCTCCAGCAGCTTGAGCGCGGTGCTGCTCAGCTCCTTGTAGCCGAACGACTCGGAGATGAAGACGGTCTTCAGGGGAGCTGTGTAGCGGATAGTGACACAGCCCTGGAGGGGAACAAAACCAACGACCAGTGTTGTATAAAGTACCACAAAGTGATACAAGTATCTTACCCAAAAATTACTTTGGTAAAAGTTAAAGTCTCCTTTAGGAATATTATTTGAATAAAAGTATTAAAGTAGCTGATATATTTTGTACTTAAGTATCAAAAGTAAATTTCTTACACAAAACCAGAGTTGTAAAGTAACTAAGTACAAATACTTCTTTGCTGCACTTGAGTAGAATTTTTGGGTATCTGTACTTTACTTGAGTAATTATTTGCAGCCTACTTTTTACTTCTACTTCTTACATTTTCACACAATTATCTGTACTTTCTACTCCCTACATTTTTTTAACAGGTCTCTTGTAAATGAGACAGAGTCTCAAGAGATCTTCCTGAATAAATAAAGGATAAATAAAATAAAAAAATAAATAAAAAAGGCACGAAGTAGAAAGTCGTTACTTTTATTTCATTTAGCTTGTTTTTATTCCAGATTGTTATTGTAAAAATATATACAATCCATTTAAATTGTGCCTCCTAGATAAGAGTGTAATTA